CTGGGCCCCCAGAGGGGTCAGCCAGAGAGACAGCAACCGGTGCAGGGTGCGGTGTGAGTGCGGTACTGTCGCGAAAGAAACAGCGGGAAGCACCTGAGTCAAGCGTGAAGGTGTGCAAGGCCTCAGCAGGCGCAGTACCAGAGAGAGCAGACTCACCAGCACCTAGAGCAGTAGACTCACCAGCACCTAGAGCAGCAGACTCACTAGCACCTAGAGCAGCAGCCTCTATACCTGGGTCGGGCGGCACACACAGGTAACAGTCACCCTCAGCACTAACAGGTAATGCATACATGGCAGTGAGGATAGTATCATAGTCAAGAGCAAAGATATCCACCCTCTGCCTAAGCAGCTCCAGCCAGCGGGGGAGCTCAGCCGCGTCGCCAAACTCTGCACGCCAGGCGTCGCTCAGACAGGCGAAGCAGCGGGACTGTGTGTGACCAACTGTCCCGCAAGCCTGACCAGCCCGATCACCTGTGCGAATGACGTACGGGCAGCGAGCAGTACTCCGAGACCCTCTACTCTGAGCGTACCACTCACGAAGCTGCTGAGGCGTAAGGGTCTCACGCGGACGCTGCTGCAGCTGCATCTGGCCACCGCCAGAAACTCCCGACTTACCAGCTCCAGGGCGACTGCCACTACGGCCGCCGCCACAACCCCAACTAGCGTACCACTCACGAAGCTGCTGGGGCGTGAGGGACTCGCGCGGACGTCGCTGGAGCTGTATCTGGCCACCGCCAGAAACTCCCCACCGAACAGCTCCACCTAGACTGCCACTGCAGCCGCCGCCACCACTCCCACTGCTGCCACCACCGCCGCCACCACTCCCACCGCTACCACGAAGAGACGTCATAGCGGGAAAAGGAAGGAGATGTGCGACCAGCACGGCAGCACGTAGGGAAGGCAGGGCGGCGAACAGGCACTAGGGTAGGTCGGGGCGGCGCACGGTCAGGGAAAGGCGGCGCGCGGCCAGAGTAGGGCGGCGCAATTGGCAGGGAAGGGCGGCGGCCAGCAGGGCGGCGCGCAGGCAGGGCAGGGGCGGGCGGCGGCCAGTAGGGCGGCTCGCGGGCAGGGCAGGGCGGCGCGGCGTTGAGCGTCGCGCGGGCAGGGCAGGGCGCGCGGCGGCGCGCGGCGCGCGGGCAGGGCAGGGCGCGCGGCGGCGAGCTGCGCGTGGGCAGGGTAGGGCACGCGACGGCGAGCGGCGCGCGGGCAGGGCAGGGCGCGCTGCGGCGAGCAGCGCGCGGGCAGGGCGGCGCGGCGCGGCGAGCGGCGCGCGGGCAGGGCGACGCGGCGGCGCGCGGCAGTGAGTGGCGCGCGGGCAGGGCGGCGCGGCGCGGCGGGCGGCGCGCGGGCAGGGCGACGCGGCGGCGCGCGGCGCGCGGGCAGGGCAGGGCGCGCGGCAGTGAGTGGCGCGCGAGCAGGGCGGCGCGGCGCGGCGGGCGGCGCGCGGGCAGGGCGACGCGGCGGCGCTCGGCGCGCGGGCAGGGCAGCGACGCGACAGCGAGCTGCGCGCTAGCAGGGCAGGGCAGGGCGTGCGCGGGCAGCGCGATGCAAGGCAGGACAGGGCAGCGCGGCGCTAACAGGGCGGCGCGACTCGTGTGGTAGCGCGATTCGGTGGGCCCTAAAAAAAACGGTCCTAGGCTAGGACATGCTCTGAAACCATGTCAGAATAGCAAACGAGAATGAAAAAACTAGTAGCAGTGTGGGTACAAGTAGGAAACCCTAATTGGGTTGTACCCCATATGGGCTACCCCACTATAGCCTACACAATAAGCAGCATATAAGTTTGACGGTTACTAGCTGGGAATCTCGGATGCACTGTTCATTACCATTCAGGCAATAATTCTGACTTGTTAGGCATGATGGATACCGCGGGGGCGACGACAGGATACTTTTGTTACGATTTGGACACGTAGCTTACTTCGCTTGCGATTGAGCTCAAAGAGTGTTAACACGGAGGTAATTGCCCTAAACAGTATGATAGCCGCTAAAACAACCCCCCGAAGAAACCCTTGGAAGTATCATAGACGCCCGCTAAACTGTGAGATTTTGGACCTTCGATATATCCGATGGTTCACCTCTCTCGACGTTTCCTGTCCCTCAGTACGTGTAAACACACCCGATCATTGGTTACCACACAAGTTTCCAGAAACCCTGGAGCAAGGAAGCCAATCAAACGTGTACAGGTGTTCTCGTTTATAGTCCGACGGAATGACACGCCGCGCGCGGACTATGTGCGAAAACCTTCAAACCCCGGGCAAAATGGGATACTTATAGTCTCGTTTCAGGAAAATTGCATGCAGCGCGTTTTGTTTGCTACTAGTTTTTGTTTTTAGTCTTTTACGTAGATTCGGACCGCGCTTGCTTCAACTCCTTGTCGCCCGGTTCTCCGCGTTGATCAATGTAGCATGACTAACAGGCAAAATAAAACAAAATTGATTATGGTTTGGGTCATGAATAAAAGGTAAAAACTTTTGTTTTACCCTGTAAGCGAGATAAATGAGATGTCATCGTCGAGCGCGCTGGGGACCGCGCGACAGGATTGAGAAGTAAGCAGGGTCAAGAGAAACAAGAATTACAATTGCAAAGTTGAATATTGAATCGAGGATCCCTTCTTTATCATTTTCCATGAATGTTGGGCTGGTTCGATCTGGGCCCTCTGATTGGCTGCAGAGCTGATTCCTGCAATGATTCAGTCAAGCTGCAAAATTTCCCGCCAAAAAAGGGACTGTAGAGGTCGGGCTACACCTAGGCGATATCGGAAAATTCTACTCAATGGGGAAAAGGGAATCTTTTAGCGAGGGCCTCTAACCCGGAACATCTGTACTTTCGTCTACACTTGTCCAGACTTTTATGGCGGGGAAAATATGCCATAAGTAACCAACTTGGGACTCGATAACGTGAATGGTAAAAAAAAAAAGGGTACGGTCACAGCAAGGGGTGTTTTCACGCAACTGATGAAACGTTTCACGTAATCAGTCACTATCAACTGGTAAAAAAAAACGCGAATGGTCATAGATGAAACTCCCGCCAAAACAGAATGAAACCCAAAAGGAACCTGGATGCATTTTCGGAATCAACCCTAAACACGTAACTCGCCAGGTGTTTAGGGTTGATCCGTTCCCAAACCGCATCCGATTCCGATTGGGTTTTAGTTTTTCTTAAAGTTAGCTGCTTGGTTGGACGCGAGCGGGAATTTTGTTGAGTTTCAAGTTGTTTTGGCGGGAGTTACATGTGTGACCATTCGCGTGATTTTTTACCTGTTGTTAGTGACTGAATCCGTGACCCCACTTACCAAGCCCGTCACGAAACCCGATAGAGTGACCGTACGCGTTTTTTTTTTACCACTTACGTTATAGAGTCCCATGTTGGTTACTTATGGCATATTTTCCCTTTATGGCGGGCGAACTTCAGAACCGTCATCTGAGGCTCGATTCGCGTGAGCATCTAACGGACTTCTGTACAGTGCGGCAGCATTGAGCTGCAGCTTGGACGAAAACGTCGTTGGCGCTGTCCAGCGGACCAAGGTCGGCGGAAAAATCCGAGAAGAATTCCGAGCAGTGTAATCCACTTATCGGACTGAGCAAAGCCACGTGTATGATATTCATGCCACCCTTCAGTTTTGGATCCCGCCTCATCCCTCGCCGTGGCTGCCGAATATCGTCCTAAGTAGGCGCCCTCCCGCCTTGCGCCTCCCGCCTCCCGCCTCCCGCCTCCCACATCCCGCCTCCCACATCCCGCCTCCCGCATCCCGCCTCCCGCCTCCCGCATCCCGCCTCCGGCCCGCACCGACGGAGTTTTCCTCGTCCACAAGCTGCATGAGGAGTCCTCTGTGCACAAGTTTGAACCGCCGGCGGATGCTCAACTTAGCAAGATACCGCACACCCAGGGATCAGTGATCCCTGTGAGGCTGAAGGATGCAGCATAGTACTACTACACCCTCATTCTCGATAGACTGGCATATGTTATACTGACCGGGACGCTTAGTGTAGCCGCACCGGACCAAAGAAGGTCCTATCACATGCGTTATAGTGACAATTTGACCCAAGGCGTTTAGTCAAGGTCGAATACGTTCTAGAATGGTACTGTTATATTTTGAACGGTTAAGACAGTTATTCAGCGTAAACGGTTTAGGGTGGCCCGAGGCTTGTTTCGTCACGTCGTGCGACTTTGCCCGCACCGAGTTATCGCACCAGCCCGCTACGTCCAAACACTGTAGCCAGTGCTTCCAATGGTGAGAAGGGTGAGAATGAGGGTGTAGTAGGTGCACTGCAGACGCCTACGCAGGTTCGATCGCGGGTAGGGGACGTGTCCCGTCGGTCAGTGGACGTCGACGGTCGACGACGATCCGTCGTCCCAGGCAAATGGGACCGTCGTCCTTTTTCCTTTGAGATATTCAGACGTGTTTCACTTCAAGCACTGAGGCTTGAATCAGGCGTGCGCAAGCGACAGACCAGAAGATCCGAAGATTCGGAGTCCGAATAGTATAATCGCACCTTATCGGGACTCAGCACAGACACGTGTGACTTCCTACGTGTAGCAGCATGCCACGTGGCGTGCCTCCCGCCTTCCGCCTCCGGCTCTTGGCGACGGGGCTTCCCCGTCCACAGTCTGTCACATCATACCAACTGCCGGCGAAAGCGGCACTTGTAAGTACTAGCACACAGGGCCATCCACCCATGCCAAGGGATTAGTGATCCCATTCCAGCCCCCGTGAGGCTGAAGGAGATGGGGCATACTACATCAGCGTCTGAATCACCAGCGCTAACTCATTTCAGTTCGCGGCCCTACTACTTCTACTACCATGGAGCGGCGCGCAGCACCTCTCCTCTTCCTCCTTCTCTGTGAGCATTACTACTACTCTCCTGCTCCTCACTATTTGTGCCTAGTACCGTTGTGATGATTCGCGATGATTTAATTCCCCGTCGAGGCCGCTGGCAGTTCGTGTCAACGATCGTGCCCCTCATGACCGTTCTCGTGCACTGTCCCGCCTTCCAAGCCAGGTGCGGCGTTCCTCACTGCCGCCGCCGCGTCTGCAACAATCTTCCCACCGCTCCGCCTTCGCGACGTCAGCGTTTCAACCGCCAAACCCTTGGTGTGGAAAGGGAAGGCAGCGGGTAATTGTCTGCCGCTCTTTCTGATGCCCTTGCTGCACTGGTGTTGCCACCGTGTAGCTGCCTTCGCTCTGAGACCGAATGGGAATTCTGGGATGCAGTCGCCAGGGTACTAGAAGCCGCACTGCAGTCGCTAGGGTGCACTGAAGTTCGCCCACCCCCTCCAAAGATCAGCAAATGAGTTTCGTATTATCCTGTTTGTCACTTGCTGCCAGCAGTACATTTTGGTGCAGTGCGCTGCATATGTTTCTGCGTTCGCCCCCAACTGATCTGTCGTGTTACTACTAGTAGGAGCCGTGTAGGTCTTTATTCACTGGAAGCTATCAGCTCCGCATTTCATGCAAGGTTATTGAGTGGTGCTACTACTAGTGCATCTCCCACCAGTTGTCCTTCCACGTCCCTCCCCCTATCCCTGCCAAGTACGTCACCAATTTGCGTGCCACTAAGATCAATGGAAAAGTGGTCGGCGACAAAGGGGCATCTGGGAAGATAGTTGTAATGGGGGTGAGGTGCGTCCCTGCAAATTTCTACCTGCTGCTGCCATGATTGTTCGTATGGGGGGAGTTTTTACGCCTCCAACCCTCTCCCATCCCCCCTCCCCACCTTCCCCTTACCCCAATCCCTCCTCCCCCCCCCCCCCCCCCCCCCCCCCCCCCCCCCTCCCCACCCCACCCCCCACCCACCTTTCATTTCCCTCTCTGCCTGCACCACCTTCCGCTTCCTCCTTTTTCTCGCACAAACTTCTCTTTCCCCCGCCCCCACCAGCTCCCCCTTCTTTCCCTCTATAACGCCCCGCTAATGTAGAGGTGCAGCAGATGCCCTCAACCCTTCGTGTGAACTGCAGGCGTTACACCCTCCACTCCCCACCCCCCTCCCTCTTCCCACATTCCCTTCCCCGCCCCTTCCATCCCCTGCGTCCGCTCCCCACCCCGCCTTCCCCTTTTCCCCACCCCAACCCGCCCGCCCCATCCTCTCCCCTGTTTCCCTCTCGGGCATCTCCCTTCCTGTCGTTGGCAGGTACTCAGCAGCTATGTACTATGTCAGGATTCAGTTTAACGTTTTAAACATCAAATCTGGTGGAGCAGCCCCTAACATCGCCCCTGTATCCTCCTGCAAAAGTTCCCCAGCAACGCCGGGTGCTTTATCTTGGATCAACATCACCAGTGACAAGGCCGCGCGTCGCAAGCGCTACAGCTTCAAGTATTATTTAGAACAAGGTGGCTTGAGTAAGATTGCTGATATCCGTATTCTGGTTGCACTAAGGGCGGCCGAATTTGGCAAATACACTAAGGTGATTCATGCCAAGAACCCTGATGCACTCTGTGGGAAGCAGAAGAAGGTGGTTTAATGGCCGGCCCAGATTGGCTGCTTGGTTGGCTCTGAGTGTGCAAGTGTTCATGTTAATAGTAAGATTGTTGATTGCATTGCATGGTTAGCTTGCATTGCATGTACGGTAATTGTCAAAACATATTTGTGCTTGCTAGGCTATCCTGGGGTACACCATAACGGGTACAACCCCAATTAGGTTTAGTACTTGTATCTCATCTCAACTCAATTCAATCATTCCTCTCGTTGTAGTTCTGACATGCTACCAGAGTAGGTCGATCCTGTTGGGCCCACCGTTCCGCTACTGCCCGAAGCGCCTAGCGCGCTGCCCTACTGCCAGCTCGCGAGCTGGCCTTTTTTTTTTCCACTGTCGCGACCGCCCTGACTGCCCGCGCACCTTAGCGCTCTGTCGCGACACGCCCCTGCTGCACAGCGCGCCGCTCGCGCTGCCCGCCAGCCCCTGCGCCCGGCCTGCCCTCTGCCCGCGCGCACCCCACGGCACCCGCCCAGCGCGCCGCTCGCGCTGCCCGGCCTGCCCCCTACCTGCGCGCACCTGCGCGCACCCTGCCCGAGCGCACCCTGCCCGCGAGCACCCCTGCGCTCGGCCCGTCAGTGCTGCTGCGCGCTGCTGATGCTGTCACCTGCGCTGCCCCTCCTGCTGCATGCGCTGCTGCTGCTACTAACTGCTGCAGCTGCTACCTACTGCTGCTGCTACTAACTGCTGCAGCTGCTACCTACTGCTGCTGCTGAGCGCGGCTGCTGCTGCTGAACGCGCTGCTGCTGCTACTGCTGCTGCAAGTGCTCCTACGGCTGCGCCCTGCCCAGCCCGAGCCGCGCCGCCCTGCCGAGCCGCGCCGCCCAGCCCGAGCCGCGCCGCCCTGCCGAGCCGCGCCGCCCTGCCCGAGCCGCGCTGCCTTGCCCCTACTGAGCCGCACTGCCGTGCTGCTGCTACTGCTGCTACTGCAGCCCCTGCTACTGCTGCTACTGCTGGTACTGCTCATATGGCTACTATCTCAGTCCTTAGCTTCGATGCGGAGGGTCGTGCGATTAGTTTTGACATTTGGCTTGATGATCTCCAGCTGTACCTACAGAGCGAGTCTACGGATGGCGTGTCCTTGTTCGCCCACACAGAGGGATCCCTCCTAGCCCCAGCTGACACAGCGCACGCAGATCATTCGAAGTGGCTCATGCGTGATGCCACTGCGCGCCTTGCTGCCTGCAACCACCTTCCAGTAGCAGAGAAGGCGCACATTAGCCAGCAGAAGACAACCAACGCCCTCTATGACGCCGTTGTCGCTCGTTACTCCTCCCCCGCTACTGCTGCCCTAGGCCGTCTCATGCTGCCGTACCTCTTTCCTGAGCTAGCTGACTTCCACACTGTTTCTGACCTCATGACCCACCTTCGCTCCAGTGAGACTCGCTACCGCGCCGCTCTCAAACCGACCTTCCTCGCTGAGAACCCCCCCCGCTGTATATCACCCTGTACTTCCTCGTCATTCGCCTCCCTGACTCCCTTCGCACTGTCAGGGACCACTTTCTCGCCCTCGACCCCACTGAGCTCACACTTGCCTCGCTGGAGAAGTCTCTTCTTGAGGCTGAGACCAGTACCAACGCTGTCGCTTCCTCTCGCGGCACTCCCCGCTCCCCCTTCTTTGAAGGGTGTGCTCCCTCCCCTCTCCTCCCCTCCGTTGCTACTGCTGCTGCTGTCGACCTCATTGGTGCTGTGGAAGTTGGCGCTGCGTCTGCTCCTAGTGGGAGGCGCAACAACAGCAAGGGCAAAGGGGGTAAGGGTGGTGGGGGCGGCACTAGCAGTGGTGGTGGCGGGGGTGGTGGTGGCGGGGGTGGAGGCGGTTGGGGTGGCTCTGGAGGTGGAGGCAGTGGAGGCGGACGGGGTGGTGGAGGCAGTGGGGGTGGTGGAGGTGGCGGAGGTGGTGGAGGCGACGGGGTTGGTGGAGGCAGCGGGGGCGGTGGAGGAGGTCGTGGTGGAGCTGGCAAGAGTGGAGGCCATGGCGGTTCCGCTCGTGGCGGAGGAGGCTATGGGAGTGGACAGCAGATGCCGCGCCTCCCAGACAACCCCACCCCTCAGCAGCTTCGTGAGTGGGTTGTCCAGCGTGGTTCCTCTGGGGGCTTGTGTGTACCTTGCGATGCTGGTGTCGATGCTGCTGCTCCAGGTACTAGTGAGTCTGCTGCAGCTCTAGGTGCTAGTGCGTCTGCTGTCACAGGTGCTAGTGAGTCTACTGCTAGTGAGCCTGCTGCCTCCGCTGACCCCCTGCACACTTTCACACTTGACTCAGGCGCATCTCGTTGCTTCTTTCGTGACTGCACCACACTCACACCGCTAGCTGCACATGTCCCAGTCTCACTGGCTGACCCCTCTGGGGGCCCCGTAGTCGCACGAGCCTCCACTGTCCTCCCGTGTCCAGCAGTCCCCTCTGGTTCTCTGTCAGGTTCTCCACCTCCCCTCGTTCTCGACGAACTTGGTGAGCAACGCCGCTCTTCAGGATGTCTGGGTTGATACCTTTACTCCTGGAGGGCAGCGTGTGGCGATCTGTACGTGCTCCCGGACTGGCCGTCACCTTGCTACGTTCACTCGACGGCCTGGGTCTAGTCTGTACACACTGACCACTGCGTCTGCACATGTGGCTGAGTCAGGTCAGGTGGCTGCGTCGAGTCAGGTGTCTGCGTCTGGTCAGCTTGCAGCGTCTTGCTCGTATCGGGTACTCTCTCACCAGACTCTCCTCTATCACCACCGCCTCCATCACCCCTTGCTGCCGCGTCTCCGCAGCATGCACTCACGTCTCCTTGTCTCTAGCCTTCCCAGGTCTCTGCCCTCTCTCCCGCGCTCGCCTGCCCCGCCGTGCCTTCCCTGCGTCGAGGGGCGGCAGCGCGCCGCTCCTCACTCCTCTGAGTTTCCTCCGACCACTGCTCCTCTGCAGACACTCCACATGGACGTGTGGTGCCCGGCCCCCGTCAGTGGAACGGACCAGGAGCGCTACTTCCTACTGGTTGTTGACGACTACACACGCTACACCACCGTCTTCCCCTTGCGGTGCAAGGCGGACGTCAGCGGTGTTTTGATCCCCTGGATCCGTGCTACTCGTTGCCAGCTGCGCAAGCGGTTTCGGCGCGAATTGCCAGTCCTGCGTCTGCACTCTGACAGGGGCGGTGAGTTCTCTTCTGGCCTCCTTGAGGAGTTCTGTCGAGACGAGGGCATCTGCCAGACGTTCACGCTTCCGGCCTCTCCTCAGCAAAATGGGATTGCTGAGCGTCGCATTGGCTTGATCACGGAGGTTGCTCGTACCTCCATGATCCATGCAGCTGCTCCCCACTTTCGGGTCTGGGGCGCGCTCTCCCTTGTTCGCGATGCCAAAGCGAGCAAGCTCTCCTCTCGCACTCTCCGCTGCGTCTTCCTTGGCTTCCCTACCGACGCCCCGCCGTGGCACTTCTACCACCCGCGCTCGCGTCGAGTCTTCTCCTCCCTGGACGACACCTTTGACGAGTCTGTCTGTTTCTACAGGCTACACCCGCACGCGTCCCACCCGGTCCCCCTAGCGCCTCTCTTCCTAGTACCAGTCCCCCCCCCCGGTAGACCCACTCCCCCCCACAAGGTTCTGCTCCCTCAGGTGTGTCTTAGATAGACCCACCCCCCTTGGATGAGCCTGTGGAGATCTCTTCTGACCCCTCTGGCCCAGCTGAGGGGGGTGACCCCGCCGCGGACGACACGGCGGCCACTCGCCGCTCTCCTCGCCTGGAGATCCCCCCTGGTTTTCCGCCGAGGCTGTCTTCGCTGCCTCAGCAGCGTGCTGCTGTGGACTCTGGAGCTGCTGCTGGTAGTGACACTGGGGGTGAGGGTTCTGGGGGGTGCTGAGACAGAGGGTGAGGGTTCTGGGGGTGCTGCGACTGGGGGTGCTGACTCTGGGGGTGCTGTGGGTGACCCGGCTGGAGGTCCTGGAGCTGGACAGCCACAGCAGCCTGGTCTACTCGAGACGCTCTCGCCGCAGCAGATTCGTGCGTGGATCGTTTGGTGAGGCAGTCCTGGTGGTGGAGGGTGTCAACAAGGTAACGGAATAATGAATGACTAGAAATGACAAAGACAAGGAAGATATAGGAAACCCAGTCAACCCTAGCCAACCCTAAACATAAGTGTACACCACCTAGACTAGCAAATACAAACCATAAAATTTATAGTTTGACACACCCCCATAGTCTAGGTGACGGTAGTCCTGTGGAAAGCAACACACAGTCTAAGAGCAAGGGTCACAGGACCAGTCAGCAAGAACAAACAACGGTCACAAGACCAGTTCAGAAGAACAAAACAAATCTCGGGGTGGATCTCAAGATCACCACGCAGTCCGAGAACAAACAAGAGGCCACAAGGCCAGTTCACATGCAAGGATATAGCAGATATAAGAGATGCAAGAGTACAAGACATGCATGACAAGCATCTCTACAGAAGCAATGGGCCACAAGGCCTGTCCACAAGCACAGATATATGATATATAGTGAGATGCAAGAGTACAAGACAAAGCATCTCTACGCAAGCAAGTGAGGGCCTGTAGACACAAGGCCAAGCTGGGTGCAGAGACGCTGGTGGTCACAAGGCGGCAACGCCTTGGTGAAGATATCTGCAGTGTTGGCCTCAGAGACCACACGTCGCACGAGTGCCTGGCCACGCTGCTGCAACTCTCGCAGAAGGAAGTAACGAAGCTGGATGTGCTTCGCCTTCCCAACCAGTCGGGGCTCCTCGCACAACAGGATAGCAGACCTGTTGTCGGCGAACAAGACTGGGGGAGAGCGAGGCCGCTCACCAAGGTCGTTGAGGAGGGAAGACAGCCAGCGGAGCTCCTGGGCGGCCATGGCCGGAGCGTACACCT